ATTAGAGGTCTCTGCAGTTGGCTAATGCGACCGTGGGAAGTTTTTTGCCTTGGGAAGAGAAATAATTCAGCACCAATATCAGTACTTGGGATCTGGGAACAAATCTCGAGAAATATTTTGCTTTTCCTTTATTTTTCTTATTTCTATTTCTTCTCAACTTAAACAAAAGAGCAGAAAAGGGGAATCTAAGTTCAGGTTCTCCTTTACTGTAGATATTTCTGCCCACTCACTTTTCTCCACTTTTTCGGTTCTCTTTTATAACACAGCAAGGAATGCAAGAAGAGTTTTCTGGATATTGCAAATCCTGACCGTTGGTGGGTGTCTACATGTGAAAGAGGAAACGACTATTCAGGCAGCGCTGAACGTCGAAGAGGCAGTAGGTACTTGCTAGATCCTCAGGAACAAAAGGCCTAGTGTAGACATATGCGGCGTATGGAAGCATCACAATAACATCAGCAAACATTCCATACTTAATACCACATTTGACTGTTTATTGGATAATTATACCTCTTTTTTATTGTTTTCAGCAGTATAGAATGGCTTCCTCTTGGTCAATTTTTTACTGAACTGTTTTTCCAAATCCCATTGAAGTAAACAGCATTGATAAGCATCAAACGTGTATCATCACCGACGTTCTCCGTGCGAACCAAATTTTCGATTTTATCTCGTGTCTGTTTTTCCACCCAGTTGTTGATGTGCTAGATATATCAATATGCTCCGCAGCAACTGAAGATTCACTGCATGACATTTACAAAATAAAGTAGTGTCGCGGCTCTGATCTGACGCGAACGACGCTTCCAGAACAATATGCGCCATAAGGGGAGTTGGCAAGGATAAAAGGCAACAGGTAAGCAAGGTGGGCCCTACTCATGCAATGCTAAAAAACACTGGCATTAGGCCGTAAGGTTTGCACTTGAACGCCTGTAATCGTTTTCGTAGCTGCAATAAGTTCAGAATAAAATAAAGAAAGAACTCTCAATAATGCTAAAAAGTAAAGGCCCAGGCTGGAATGCACCAAGTTTTCCGGTGCGATCATGCGAATTTGCGCTTAACTCGCAGATCGCTAATAGCAAGAATGGTCCCTGCGCTGTAGCCTAACAACTGGACTCACGTTGGCTCTGGCCTCTTCCGGCATGCAAAAGAAAGAGTGATAGTTGAAATGAAGGTGTTGTATTGTAGGGCAGCATGGATTTCCAGATGCATGATTATCAGTTTTTTGCATAAAGCCCGGTCGTCTTTCTGGTAAATGCTCGCTCTTCGAAAAAATGCAAATTTCCAGTT